CGAAAAACGTTTAAGCAATAATTACAGAATACGTTTAAATTCAGAGCAAAATTATTGCTAAAGAACCACTGATCACTGTTCCTTAAATAATATTTATCCTCGTAAACTTCATGCAGAGTAAATATATACTAAATACTCCATGGTAAATTAACCATTGATCAGTTTAACTGACTAGAATTATGGATTTAGTAGAAATGGTACACCTGCTGTAAAGACTTGAATGGTGATGAGTTATTTTTAAATAATTATGGAGCATTGTATCTGCCTAACAACATTTCTGATTACTGCCAATATACATAAAAATTATCAAGTTACCATTGCGATTCCAATAAGTAAAATGTAGCAGTTTAGTGCGTTCTCAGTTTTATCTAGATCTAGATCAGGTGCTGGAAGTGTTAAATGACAAAATCTGCAAAAATAACATTCAGCTCTATCAATAAATATCCATTACTCTTCGCGGATAATATTCGGAAAATTGATTCATTAACGCAGTTGATTGATGTTTTATGTCTTATTTTAGCCTGAAATTGTATCACCACATGCAATATGGCGTTGTTATGTTGAGCTTTTTACATTTCCAGCTTTTTTTAAGTAAGCTTGAGCACTTACGCAAAACTTAATCTGAGTTTAGACATTATATGTATCCTTGAGTATCATCCAGTTAAAACTCAAATTTCGCAGCAAGATGCCACTTTGAAACGATATAACTTTTGTGTACAAGCGTAATTGTAATTATTTGCTTCTACATATATGATTTGATATAGTCGGTTAACGTCGACTCTGGCAGTTAGTTTGAAGAATCCAGTCAGTATCGTGTTTTCGATGAGTAACATATGTTTCTTTGTCATCGAAAACATCAAGTTTGCGGATTGTGTCAGTTCTGCCATACCAATTTTTGCTCAGTCTTTCACACTTTAATCACAGTATCATTATGCTAATTGGATTCCCGTTGCTTGCCTTTGGTTTGAAGTTTGAAAACTTTAAAAGTTAGGGTAATAATATGCAATAAATACTAAGACGTTATGATTTTATGCTGTGTTTGTGTTGCAAGGATTGAGAGTTTTCGAAAGTATTATCAAGAGATAAAAGTTTATTAATTACAAGTAAACAGTGAGATGAAAAAGTGCAACCACATTTATTGGCTTGTCAGGGAGGAATAAAACAAGCTTGGTCCCATGGAATTCACTGGGAAGAATATTTTTATTAATCAATTATTATATCTAAGAGCTTGCATATTTTAATTAAGTACCATTACCACACCATTGTTGTCTCAACTTCCATGCGAAACAATGTGAAACGATAGTTAACTTGTTTGATTACTCTTTCTAACTAAACATCAAATCCAGTGAATAAATTGTTATGTTTGTTAGATGAAATTCCGGTAAATTTATTTACAAGATTTCGTTGATGGCGGAGAAATATATTTAGTAAAATCAATTGTATCCGTATGGGTAGTCGGATATTAAATAGGAAAGTCAGTGCGATCAGAGGAAACCTTCATTTTAGTATATAATTATTCAAAACTGTTACATGTATACAAATCAGGAGCATCCTGACGGTGAAAACGTTTGTCAATGCACTGTAGTAGTATGATTTCCAAGCATGTAGGAATCAAATTTTAAAGGTTTTAAAGGGCTTATTTTTGACCTGCTTATTTATGTGATAAGCTTACCTGACCGTCTTCCTTCAAATCGGATTATTCCTATACCATTCAATAGGTTCGCAAAACATGACAGGTGTTCTGCCAAGTTTCTCACAATAGAAACAAGTACACAAGTGTGTAAGATTGTCAGTTCACTGCATGACACTGCATGTATATTCATGATATTCCAATCAAATTAGTTAAGTTGAAAAAGCCTAAAAATATTCCTTGACACATAATAAGCTAGTCTTTCTGTCCAAAATTCATGCGGGCTGTGCAATCTTATAGCTTTGCTGTAAAATACATCTCGCACAACGTAGATGAGGAAGATTGTGATTGCTTAGATAACCCGATAATCATCGCTACGCAGCTTCGCCATTCGGTCTAAGGTCAGCGCCTAGAAATTGGTGCTTCTCCTTTACCAAGTGTGAAAAGGACCTTATCTGTGTATGGCAAGATTAAAATACAAACTTGTTAGAACTTTTGTTATTTAAGGAGCTATTTATCTAGAACAACGAGGTTTACACTCATTCTATTCAGGCGCATATTAAACTGCTCACTTCATATCTGTTTCTACTCAAAAAGTCTAACTTGCACGTAATCTATGTGCTACCGAATAATCAGCGGTGCACTTGAGCAACGAGTAAGACTCCCGGGATCATTTCAGATTTCAAGGACAAAAGTGCGCTTCGGTGCAATTTTTACAAAGGGTGAAGGCAACAAATTATATGCGGGTTGACAAACTCCACGACAAAAATACACTAGTTCTGTTATGAAATTAAAACCAGATGTCCAAATAAGACCAAATGCAGGCAATGATTGACTAAAAGCTGACCGGTTACAAAGCAGACTAAGCAATTCCGTCAGGGGCGAATTAAATCTAAACGATCAATAGTCCAATCAAGTAAGCTGTATAAATGACACCGGCTGCGAGTCAGTGGCAGCGAAACAGGGGAATTAGGTAGACTTATGGCATAATTCTGTGGAATCCGACAGTTTGAGTTTTGTCCGTTACACAAGATATTTTTGATTAGGAGTTAAGTAATTACAGAGTGTTTTTCTTGTGCAGCTTGAATCAATTTTGCTACCCTCTACTGGAGCTAGCAGCTAAATGAGAGGCCAAATGTTAACACTTGTCAAAAAATACAGCGGAATAGAATACTAAAGAAATGTTTGCTCTTCTTGTTTTTGAGCAGAGGAGCTAACTTATCGAATCAGTCGTTTCCGCTCCAGCAACAACTACAATTAAAAGCGGTTGGATGCCACATTTCGCTAAACTTATTTGTTATGAAATAGTACCGGTCTGTGCAAATTTAAGGAGAAGCTGGCATTCCTAATAATTCACTTAATGGTGCTTTGATATTATGAGGAGAGAGAAACCGCTGCATTATTAACACGTCAAAATATATCCGTCCTGTCAATTGTTAAATGCTATGTCGTATATAGCTACAGTTAGTGGACGTCGTGCCTTTCGGGGCCAACCCTGTCCTCTGCAACGTTCGTAACTTGCATGGTAGTGGAGGATAAGACGCGCTATACCGCAGTTAGCTTGTGAATCATGACGGTCCGAAGCTGTTCTCCGTGCTCATCGGTATAAGCTGCTGACTGACGGTTCAAGCCGCTGGTGGTCACGGGTTCGAATCCTGGTGGATCCGATGGATGCGCACTACTGACGATGCCCAACAGGCTGCAACTGTAGTCTAGTGCTTTTCCGGGCATGTGAGCGTTTATCTGATTTGGAAACTGGCTGCGGAAATCTCACTTAAATAAGCCCTCTGTTTACAGTCAAAGCGTTAGCTGTTTATTGTAAAGCTTGTAATAAACAAATCAAACTGCTTAGGATAACTTCTAAAAGAATGCAATCTAAACGGCATAAATAGCCGATAAGTGTTTTTAAACGGTAGTCAGGACTTGTATGTATATAATCACAGATACATTGATAAGTTTAGCTTCTGCAAAAACCAGGGAAATTATCTTCATATGTTTTACAGCTGACGTGTTTATGTACTGAAATACGTGGCGTAAGTTATTAACAATTCAATCAACCAGGTGAGTTATTTTACTATGCTGACTGCAATTAAACTCGACTTTCTTTGGATGTTAACTGCTTAAGCTACACACTGAACTCGTATGCTTCCACTAATATCATTTCGGTAATTTTATCTTCAACATGAAGCAATGTTCCTAGAAATTTCAATTTGATAATCCAACGGCCATTGGATATTTAGAGAAGCGCTATGGTAAACCACACGTGAGCACTGTGGACTCAAAGTACCTAAACACTTCTCATTACTTTACGACGGTTATGCTAAACATCAAGTTACACGGCGTAACTTATTCGGTTTATCTGCACTTAATTCTCATATTTCTCACATAGTGTTCTGAATGTATATTTGAGATTAACTGCACGTACTCGTTGTGTCAGATAAGCAAACTAGAATACACAACCCATTTCTACTTTAGTATAAATGACAGAGACAATATTGAATATAAAATTACGTATATGGAACAACTAAGGAAACTCAGTAAGCTTAATATCCCACCGACGATAAGCAAGTATTTTTCAGTTAACACTGCAACCGTACTTACGAATGCGGTGGCAAAATCAAGTTACACGGCGTAACTTATTCGGTTTATCTGCACTTAATTCTCATATTTCTCACATAGTGTTCTGAATGTATATTTGAGATTAACTGCACGTACTCGTTGTGTCAGATAAGCAAACTAGAATACACAACCCATTTCTACTTTAGTATAAATGACAGAGACAATATTGAATATAAAATTACGTATATGGAACAACTAAGGAAACTCAGTAAGCTTAATATCCCACCGACGATAAGCAAGTATTTTTCAGTTAACACTGCAACCGTACTTACGAATGCGGTGGCAAAATCAAGTTATTATTATCAACTTTTACGCAATATTCTTGTGCATAACTGTTAAAACACCTGCTCTGATGAGCACAAAAAGCGGTCATTGCCAGATAAATATTCATGACAAGTAATTCTGATGAATTTAGGGAGTGACAACGGCTTTTATATTTTTCTGGCCGTGTAACTAGCTACTAGCAAGTAGTTGGTTACATTGTATTAAAAGGTTATTATAATAGTTACGCGTCGAGTTTGTTTCATTATATTTTACATCATCATCCTCATCAGTACACAGGGGCTGGGGGTTAGAAACCCACTTCACCTAATGTGTTGAAATACAAAGGCGTGACTAAAAATTTACACTACAAATCACACAATTACACTACAAAATATATAATGTTAAATATTACATTATGTGTTTTGCATGAGATCGGGGGGAATCTAAAGGAAGGGGGATGGACTAGAAACTCGGAACACCAACGCCATTAAGATCGGCACTTCACCAGACAAGCAAGTGGATCTAACCATTGTCTGGTCTTCATAGACCTTCCATCCGTCAAGTAAATGACATATCCAGTCAATACTCCGTTCCATCCCTTCACGTTTGGAGTTCCCCAAGATAAATGCACATGTGAATGCCCAATCCATTCATAGTAAATATGGGTTGGCGTGCTAGTAGGTTTATCTTGTGGAGTAAGGAAGCGTTTAGGTTCACTTCTAAACATTTTGTGACCGTTTTCATTAGCTTCTGGCAGACGAAAAAGTACTCGGAGTTCATAGCACACAAATGGATGAAGGCCGCTAAACACGCTACTGCAGTGCGTTAAACTGTAGAACGACTTAGAGCAAGACTCCACTTTACTTATGTAGTTAGATGGGTTTCGCAAGTTGAGTCCCCTCAACTTTCGTATTTTCTCGAATCGAGTTACTTTGTCTTGTAACCCACTGTCATGTTCACCTGCATGTCTACATTGCTGATGTGAGTACGTCTTCTCATGCTCTGCAATACCTCCATCAAGGGAGACTAGAGTGTTGCAATCGGTGAATGGGAGTTCTCGAATATGGATACCCTGGCTTATAGCTTTTATTGTTGTCTTTCGTTTTCCTGTAGTGGTCCATGTCACTTTGATTTCGGATGTTGATAAAGTGGTAATAATTAGGTCAGACAGCTTGACCGCTTCTAGGGCTGGTTCAAGAGATTGATAGTTGTAAGCATAACTCGCAATATCATGATTTTTCGTTAACTGTTTCAGTGCTTTTGTGCGAATCGGGCCAAGTGTTTTACTAGCCCATCCAACTCTTTTGTTTTTCCACCGAGAACGAATCAAGAAAAAGTAGTCTGTGTTAGCTTTTAGGCCATACACCCGAATGTGGTAAAGTGGCCAGTTTCGCTCCACAACGATCCAGCCTTCTGTAGAGACTCTCGGTTCGTAATATTCCACCCAAAATGCCAAATCATGAAAGTCTGTTGGACGAATATATCTGGATTCAAAGATAGGTGGCTCCCATCTCAACATTACTGTGTGAGAGGTTTTAGCTTCATCGCGAAAGTTCCTCGGTGGAAATAAAATTGGATATCTGGTTTCATTCAAAAGATCTGTCGTTACTTCAAGCTTTATTGACCATGTTGACTGCATACGTGTAACGTTTGTTGGTTTGTTCGTTGTCCAGTCAAAAGGTGATCGAACCACACATGTATAAATTCCGGAATCGTTCACTTGAAGATTATCTATATGAAGGGTGCCGCTTGGAAGCATCCCATATCTACCCCAGTTGGGTTTTTCCGGGGACACCCAGTTCACATCCGGCTGTTTCTGGCTGTAGGTCTTACGATCCCAATGTATTGACCATGAAGGTGCATAAGTCTGGAAGCCTTTACTTAATGCGTCAGGGCTTCCATGATTCCCGACTTGGCAAGGTAGTGTCACCCGTTCACCCACAAATGTGATTAACTTGTCCGGCGGCAAACTGATGACTGGAAGACAACTATTTTCCTGATCCTTTTGACCTGGGCCACAGTACAGGTTTTTGGCCACTCGGTCTTTGATAGTCGGATGACGAATGTGTAGTTTGGCAGTTGCATGGATTGTGTCGACTGGTGAGTGAGCTGTACACTGATATCTACCCTCATCTCTCATACTCACGTTAAATATTTCCAAATGCCCCTCCGGATGTACGAGATATTTGATTGTGGTGGTCTTCCTAACAGCATCAACAAGAAATACCGGAGTCATATCTGGTAATTCCCAATAAATCGATGGCGATGGATTGCCTTTGGCAACACAGGGAAATATTGCATTATCTCCTGAAACTACGAACAGGTCGGATGGTTCCTTGACGAAAACTGGAGGAGTGTCGACGGTCAAGTTTACTGCGTGCACCGTAGCTCCTCTAATAAAGCAAATATAGGTTCCGGAGTCGGACACTTGAACGTTCTCCAGGAATAGGTAGTTAGAAGCAATATGAGCCTTTGAATAATCGATCTGATCATCGTTTTCGGCTTTCTTCCAGCTGATTACCTCAGATTCGTTTACTTCGCAGTAAATTGTCACATCTTCTCCAGCTCTGGTGCGAATAGACCTTGGGGTCTTCAAATTATATCTAGTAGACCGCACAGACACGGCAACCACGGAAGACCGTCTCACTCCAGCGATGTTACTTGCATGGCAGTAGTACAGGCCAGTATCTGAATATGTTACAGTTGTTATGCGCAGTGTACCATTTGCTAAAGACAGAACGCGTTGTAGAGAGTTAGATGCACTTGACTGCCAGCTAGATAGTCTGGTATCTCCTTTTGTCCAAAATACCAGAACCTCCGGAAAACCTTTCGGTGGTCTACAATCAATGTAGGCTGCTTGCCCTTCCAAAGCTACTAGACGAGAAGGTAAGTTGCGGAAACCGCTGTTAATGTAGGCAATAGCACCATGTACAGGTGGGTGGCTAGAGATCCAACTTCCTCCGTTAGAAGCGTTGCAATAGTATGAGTAAACTCGACCCCGAATAGGGTTTGAGACAAGCAGTTTACCATGATAATGGTTAATGTGAATCCCCGAGGGGAAGTCTGCGGAAGGCACTTGATCAGTCACTGCCTGCCCATCTGTGGCATTATGCCACGTAATCTGTATTTTTCTAGTACCCTTCGCTTGGCAAGTGAATTCCAAAACACCATCGGTGGAAATGTGATCTTTTGGCTCCAACGTGAACACAAGCTCATCATGCTTTGCCAAGAGTTGGACTGGAGATTCATGCGCAAACGTGCTTGAGCTGAGTGACTCAGGGGTTGATAAATTAAGCAGCCAAAAAAGAGCAATTTTGTACCCATAACTCTTCTCGTAGGTGCAGTTGAACCGCTGCATCGGCTCGCAAGTTCACGAGCTCATTCATCTAGAAAGAATGAAAAAAATTGAAGGGATGTCAGTTAAGCAGTGGTTAGGATCAGTTGAGTATGTAGTAGCACATAGGCATGTTTTTCAGTTAAGCATTAATTACAACCACGTTTGATGCGTTCGGATAAGGTTTTGACTTAAAATATATATTAAAGAAATAATCAAGGAGCTCCACCTTATGAAAACATTGGAATGGTACATTCTTGCTTATCCTCGGGAGTGATTCTTCCACTATCACAGCACCAAAGATTAGCTTAAAATTTTCATGTATACGTTATACAGATCATTACACCGCATGAAAGCGAGCAGACGGTGGTAATAACAACCGGTGCGCCTAATCGCAATCATGTCTGAATTACGTTGTTGACCATACATTTCACGACGAATTGTTGTTTCCTTTCCCCGGATATTTCTTGATTTAGTCAAAATTAGATACCAGTAACTCACACAATATCAACTGTTAAGCAGACTATCACAAAATCATTGCCAAGAATCAGCACGCTAGTCTATCTAAGTAAATGACAGACCAAGAGGAAAATATTTTTGTGGTTCCAGTTTATATTCGATTCGAAGTACGATATCATGTATCACAATAGTATGTTTTTACACCTAGATTGAGAAAACTGTAATGGGATAGAAACCTGCCAAATCTTAGCCTTTTGACTCCAACTTCTTACAGCTGCTCAAAAAGAAAGTAAAACGTTAAGTATTAAATATTAAATCATCATCATCATCATCAACAGCAGTACATCAGCCATTTGAACTGATGCTTCGCTGCCATACAACCATGAGGACCTATGAAATAAAGAATAAGAAGAGGGAGAGAAGGGGGACTTACCTGAAAACCTTAATGCCCTAAGCAAACATTCAGGGTCAAGGCGCCTACACCTTGTGTTAACAACATTCCGTCACAAACAGCTGGCTATCGTGCAAAGATAAGGCGGCATCGGCGAGACAGCTTCCTTGCGGCTTTCACTGCCACGCGTCATAATCAGCCATTACCCCGCAGATAACTCAGCACCAAACACACTTTAAACAGACAATCCAATTAGGAGACGGCAGCAGACGCGCCACTGGTGTCGGTTGCGAGCCATGTCCTGTAAAGTCTCGAGCCAAGCACAAGGTGAGTCACGTGGGCTCCAACCCGGAAGGCGAGACGGACCAACGGCACCCAGTTTGGTCGTCAGTGACTTCATTTCCCGCTGCCAAGTCAACTTCTGTCCACCTCGAGCCTTGCGCCATCCGACACCTGGTAGACTGAACAAGGCCCTCCTAGGTAAGCGGTGACCAGGCATGCGTAGCACGTGCCCGAGCCAACGCAACTTATTCAGTGCTATCTGTTGTTCTAGCGAGCTAGCATGATCATCACCACCTAGTACTCGCCTACGCACATCATCGTTGCGGACACGCTGGTGCCATCCGACACCAGCAATGCTTCGCAAACAACGATGATCAAAGACTTGAAGGCGCCTCAGATCTTCAGACCGAAGGGGCCAAGTCTCACTACCATAAAGCAGAACGGCCCTCACTGTGGCCTTGTATACACGGCCTTTCAGACAGACACAAACACAGCATAAAATCATAACGTCTTAGTATTTATTGCATATTATTACCCAAAATTGTTTAAGTTTCCCAACTTCAAACCAATAGCAAGCAACGAGAATCCATTTAGCATAATGATGCTGTAATTAAAGTGTGAAAGACTGAGCAAAAATTGGTGTGGCAGTGCTGACACAATCCGCAAACTTGATGTTGTTGATGACAAAGAAACGTATGTTACTCATCGACTAAACATTACTGAATGGATTCTTCAAACTTACTGCCAGAGTCGACGTTAACCAACTATATCAAATCATACATGAAGAAGCAAATAATTACAATTACGCTTGTACATAAAGGTTGTATCCTTTCAACTTGGCATCGAGCTGCGAAATTTGAGTTTTAACTGGATGATACTCAAGGATACATATAATATCTAAACTCAGCATAAGTTTTGCGTAAGTGATCAATCTTACTTAGAAAAAAGCTGGAAATGCAAAATCTCAAAATACCAACGCCATCTTGTATGTAGTGATACAATTTCATGCTACAATAAGGCATAAAACGTCAATCAACTGCTTTAATGAAACAATTTTCCGACTATTGTCCGCGAAGGGTAATGGATATTTATTGATAGAGCTGACTGTTATTTTTGCAGATTTTCTCTTTTAACGTTTCCATCACCTGATCTAGATCTAGCTAAAACTGAGAACGCACTAAACTGCTACATTTTACTTCTTGGAATCACAATGGTAACTTGGTAATTTTTATGTATGTTGGCAGTAATCAGAAATGTTGTTAATCAGATACAATGCTCTATAATTATTTAAAAATAATTTACTTGCCACCTTACAAGTGTTGACAGCACAGTGTTGACACATCACAATTTTAAACACCGCAGATTGCTGGCAATGGTCCTCTCCTTTTTGCTTCGCTGCATTCTCCATTGGCCTCCATCGCCTGCGCTATCGCAAACCGGTTGATTAGTGTCCATAGGAAGCAACACAAGCACTCCAGCTGAGTATCCATCAACGGGTGGACATTGCGCTGAAATCCTGCAACCGGTATGCTGGTGGGCTCGTTAAAACTTAGTGGTGGCTTGGTTTCCGCTTGCTAGGATGAACCAACGGAGATTCTCCCTACGGAACGTTTCACTTGTCTTGTAGGCTGGCGCAGATTTTCGGCAGTGTGTGACTGCACAGTGGTTTGGTATTTCTAGCACAATATTTGGAAAAAGTCATGCTGGATATCACGCAGTTGTTTAAAAGGATCACGACAAACCAGTATACGAAATGTGGAAATTCACGTCGCACATGAGGAGTGTAACTGCATTGGCCCGATGTCGAACTATTTTGCAACAAATGCCACAGGAAGTCAAATTTTTCATTACTGGTAGCTTAGCAGATATGACGCTAATGGTGTGAAAGCGATCTGTAAATACATCATAACAGTACCATGGAAAAATATAAGGACACGAAACTAATACACAAGGACCAAATTCAGAATAGCAAGAGAAGCTGAATTTGACAAAATTAAACACCAAATTATGTTCTTCACAAACCAATGAACGATACAAACTGACCTGTCAAATATACCCAGAAAAGCCGTCCGGAGAGCGCTAGCGAACGAAGTCACAAATTTGTTATTTATGGCATAGTTAGTAAGTAAATGTCACAATACATCTAGTCACTTCATAAGTTTACAGTGAAAATTTGAGATACGTATATAGTTTACTTTTTGTATGTCTATCGAAAATGAGGTGAAATCAATTAAATCGATCAGGATGACAAATACGATCGTGAAATGTGTTAACAAAATTTAGGTGATCATAGAAATCGCCTGAGTGTGTATGCCGTGCACAGACCGTTACCGAACGATGGAATGCAACATCTTCACAATAGGGACGAAAAGATGTGACAATATAGTTGTAAAGCTCTACCCGCATCTTTGAACGTGGCAAGCTCAATGTTATTTATGAACTACTAAATATCTCTGCTATTCATGTGGATGTAATTTTAAATGTGATAACATTTTGTAATATTTTATTTCACATATGCTAGAACTGAAGCGGAGAATATTATAGCACGAGCCCGGCTACGTGTCATAATTACATTCACACAACTTGTGCATACTTATTTTCTTACGTATCATAGGTTAGTTATATCAGTTCGCTACAATAGTGGCGTCCACCGAACACCTGGACAAAATTGGACTTGCTAATTTTTCCGGCCAATCTTAATGAATTGCTTAGCTAATCGCCGTGGGAAATAGTAAATCTGGCTTAGTATAGTGCCTAATTTGTGCGTCGCTGACTTAATTGAGGGTAAAACAGGTGCCCAGCAATCATGCGTAACCATATCGGACAAAAGCAGGTGCAGATACGTACGGCTATAGGCAGGCCAGAGCTCACCAACGAATCTAGGGGCCATCGGTGTTAGCCGGGTTGGCAGACGCGGTGAAATTTAGCAGACCACCGCAGACCGACTTCCGATCTACCCTGTATCTAAGAGAGGATACATGTTGTCGCCAACCTCGACTTGCGCCAATTAACCTAAGACATATGTTAATCGACTACACTAAGAGCAACTGTGATTAGCATATTCACACAGCGTAGACAACAAGGAACAAAGCGGCCTACTGAGAGAACGGTAATTTCTGTCTCATTATAATGTGCATGAAACACAGCGAATGTGCCAATATCAGAAATATGGTAGGTAACAGCCATATTGAGTACATGTCAAGTAAAAAGCCGTTGCTCAATGTCCATACTCGATCAACTGTACTTTAATTTTGACGGCAAGGTAGTGGTTTAACAAAGCACCGAAATAGAATTACAATCAGTATGAGCTGAACATACTCGGTAAAATCGATTTGCATTCGGGTGACGCATTTATGCCTGATTGCAGAATTTCGTGCATGAACGTTTCATGGGTGTGTTCTACGTTGCCTCGCAATTTCGGGACAACTAAACTCCTCAGCGTTTCGGCGAGCAAGTGTCACAAATTTGGACACTTAACTTTTTCACGGAACAATGATTCCTGCTAACATTTCGGAAATTGTGGAAAATTTAATTTTCTATTAAAACTGTCCTCTTCAGTTAGAGGGTGCAACGTTCACACAAGGCAAATAATTATAGTAAGGAGAAATAGTTTAGCCTAAATTGTTCACAAACCTACATGTAATTTACACTAATTTTGGATCAATTTAGGGAGGGAATTTACACGGCTAAACTCACTTCTCATATAGCTAAAACTAAGCACAAAAGCAGGATGCGAATTACCAGACTATAAGATAGATCGAGATGCTCGACAGAGTATGTAGGTGGAAAAATGTCCGAGAACAAAGACTTGTGATGTCAAATATCACAGTTATTTACGGCAGATGGAAAGAAAGCAGGATTCAGGCCGCTAATTGTTTTATTAGTAAAATGTTATGTATACTTGTAATTTTACGAAA